AATCTACTTACANTAACAGCAGAATAGGCATTGTTAACTAAAACGTCCCCTTGACCATTCTGTTCTCTTTTTATCTTATCAAATAATTGTCCTAACTTCATCATCTTTACTATGATCACACTGTATTGGTATACATACACCACCTCTTTCTTCTATCTACAAATTTTACACATTAAGACCTTGATTTTAACAACACTGTAATTTTTTAATCCTGTGGTAGTTTGAAACTTTCTGGTGTATCATGTTTTTTTGAAATTTGGATGCAAACTGTGGCTTTTCAATATGCAAATGTGAAAAGAATTATTCCCCCCCCTCCTCCACAAAAACTTTGATGCACAAATGCACATCCCCCCTCATCCACAAGTGTAATGACCCTTACGGTCGGCACGCATGCACTTAATCCCTGCCCCCCTCCTCTTCCACAAAAGCATTACAGTTGGCTTTATGAGATATGAAAGGAAGAAAAAGTTCAAAATCAAAATATAAGAGATATGTAGGTCTTTAAAACAATGTCTACCTCTTTAGCAGTGTCTGTTAATGAACCAGTTTTATTATCAGGGGTTCTGTTTAGAGTTCTACCTGGAAAAACAAAGCTACAGATTGAAGTCATCTCTTGATCAAGGTCAAGAGAAATTAATAGGAAAAAAAGAGTTTTGAAATCTACGATATATCCAGTCAACAGACATGTGTCAGACCTAAAATTCTTAAGTTATCAGGTATCATTTTCAGCAAGCAGAGGAGAAGGTTTATTCCACCAGACTTCCACATGTAGACCAAGATTAGAACCCATGAACACCATTTATTTGATGTTCCAAGCAATGAGCTTTTAGTGCTTCCAGGTGCTGGAAAAGCTACTATTTAGATGCCTGAATTCCTTAATGTAACTCACCAGTGATATAGACAGTGGCTCCTGCCTCAGCCAGTTGTAGAGCAATACCTTTTCCAATACCTCTAGTAGCACCTGTTACTAAACACACCTTGCCCAATAACACTCTGTGAGCCATTCTTCCTCTTCAAACTAAAATATCAACTTTAATAATGCAGTTATCTGGGGTTATTGGACAAGACCAAACTAAGAAAGCACAAGACATATATGGATATAAGCTTACTATTTTTAACATTTATCAATTCAACATTTCACATGTTCATACAGGTAGTGTTATTAAGAGAAAAATGAGTATATCCATATTATCTTGTTTCTTTATCTACGCCTATATCTTTAAAAACATTCAATTCAAAAATGATCACCAGCCATTGACCAAAGTTTAAGAGGTTCAATAGTCAATAAGACTTACAAATAGAGGTCCAGGACTAGTGAAAAGGCAGATGCAAGCAACAGGCCATAGGTTAGGTTTGGTTGCTTTCACACAATGTTAGGAGTGAAAATAGCATTGCCAAAACTTTTCAAAACACCAATTTACAACGCAATCTATCCAGACTGATAACCTGCAAATGCAAGTGTAACATCATGGAGGCGTATTTATCTAATCTTTGCCCTGGCCTTGGATTTGTTTGTAAATACATGTACATCTATGGATTTAAATTTTATAATATTGCCATTTGTTGTCTTCATTTCAATATTCTTTAATAGTTTAAAAATCAAGTGCAACATCTGCAATCAGAGGTTACTAAGAGAAAAACGGAACAACACAAACCTAACAACTGGTTACAACGACCCTTGCCCTCTTCACTCTGATGTCGACTGTTTATGACTATGAGCATTATTTATGTAACAAAATTTCTTTTTTCACTTTATCAGCTAGCACGGGTGAAAGTTCATTCAAGGGAGATAACTCTAATTACGTCTTACTCAGACCACAACTCCGTGGAATGCTACAATTAATATTGATAATTCCACAGGAACAATAAATCCAAAAGCAGAAAGAAATATTTCAGGGTTTCCAAAAAAGCATTAGCACAGGTCAGGAGATGTTGTTCTGTAACACAATCCATGAACTTCCCTTCTTGACGTACTTTAAACATTCCGTTCGCAATCGAACTCCACAACTCATCTTCACAATGTCAAGCTATAACGAACCTTCGTCTTTGACTTTTTTGTAACACGAAAGTTTGTAAATGCAGCAATTTGATTGGATTGTACGTTAGCGAAAACACCCAATCTGAGTCCTCGACAGTCTGTAAATAATAAGCCTTCATGTTTACAGTCTGTCGGGGGATATGGTTGGCTGTATTCACTGTCGTACAATCCAACCAAATCGCCACATTCCGTGATACAAGAAAGGGGCCTACAAGAGTCAAGGTATAAGTCGAAGTACGTAATAGCTTGATATTGTGAAGATGTCGACCGAGAAGTATGTTACAACATTTCCGTATATAAATCTTAAAGAGGATGTTGGGGGGGGGGGGGGGGGGGGGGTGTTTGTACACCAAAATGTACCCCCACTTCATTTTCAAATTATTTAATATATCACCCTTCATACATTTTTGCTCCAAAATATGTGTCGTAATGCACCATCAATTCTTTTTCGACTAATTTTTGGGGAAAAAAACACTCAGACGCTTAATGGGCTTGCGCTTATGGCGGTTCTACAGAGCTGCGCATTTTGAATCTCAACCTGGAAAGTTGACCCCCTATTAGATCTAAGTCAGTCCCCCACCCCACCTGCCCCACATCGCTCCCTCACCTATTTGAATCCCCAATCCAATGAGACTGGCATCACCACTCAAAGTCTTACATTTCTGTTAAGAAAATGAAAATTATAAAAATGTAAAAAATTAAACTATGTCCCTGGGTACATGTACACAAAATGGAAAAAATATAGATTTATTAAAAAAACAATCCACTTTATTTTCATTCCATTTTAAGATGGCAATTAATTTTTCTGAGGTTAATTCATCGCATTAGATTTCTGATTTGAAGTTCGTACATCACATAAGTTCAATACATAACTGGGAGGCTTTTTCCAAAGGTATCTACACCTCTAATTTCAGGTCGCTAGAAAACCCGGTTCTCATGGGGAGACTATTCGACGTAAATGGCAGATCTAAAATGAAATCGATAGTGATTGACGAATTTTGGAATATTTAAACACACCAATGTACCTGGTCGGTTAGTGCGCAGGTGATCCCGGTCGTAAACAATCTCGTGGCCAACCAACAAAAATATCTTAGATGAGGGCCTGATTGCATTCCATCAACTATAAGAATTCTAGTCAAGCGTCTTTGTAGTACGAATAATTCCAAGAATGTATCGCTTGATTGATTGATAATTCTCAGGTTTTTTAAAAATCGAGATCAATAAGAAAGTTTGTTTTAAAGCCTCCGATATCTGATTCTATTCACTAGTTTTATATAACACGGTTTAATGGACACATAAAGAACTCATTCCTTTGTTTTACTGGTTGGTAAATTGTTGGTTTTAGTCTGATATTTAAAGGCAGGGATTTAGGGTCTTATTGCATTTTGTCAGAGTCTCTCGATTTCGATTTTAAAAGAAATTTAAAGCGTTTTGTTCTAGAGTTGCTGTCGTACGTAAGTCAATATCGTAAATGATATTCAGACAAGACAACTAGTTCTTTTTTGTTCTTCAGTATCCAGAATCTAGCAAATAGTCTCATTGGATATTTGAGACTGACGTGAAAGGTTTTAAAGAGAAATCATATATCATCTTTTATACCATCATCTGAAATGTTGGTTTTGTTGGTGATAATGTTCAGTTTAGCCGTTGAATGTAAAGGAAATCAGTGTTTTAGAATGGACACTCTGCCAGATATGTATCGTGGTATGAAGGTAAATGATACTGTTCAACCATTCTTGTTCAGTACGGCAGCTGGTCCAATAGACTGTGCCCGAAGATGCAAACTCTATTCTTTGTGTTCGTGCGTAAATTTCCATATACCAACATCAGGCTGTGAGCTTTTAGCTTGGAATTTTGATGCTGGAGCCTTCGTTTCGAACACGCAATACCTAACCATTGATGTGCGTACATGGACGGATCGTATCTCAGGAGTGTGCGAACATCACAAATGTCCCAATGATACGGTTTGTAAGCCTGATAATGCTAACTATTACTGTGAACCTGTCGGTTGCATTGGATTACCACCAGTGGCTGATATAAACATGACCTCATTCACCGTCAAGGCTTTGTGGGCCTTCGGAGACATTGTAGAATATGCTTGTCTAAGAGGGTTTTTTCCTAAATCCAATGCAACGTGTCTGGCAAGTGGAAAATGGAGCAACTTCACGTGCTACTATCTCAAACTATGTGGTGAAACCGGAAATTGTGAGCCAAGGAAAACAACCGACTATTGGCTGTATTCCACACTGCTTCATGATTATTACAAGATCTTCTGCCGAGCAACTCCAGCAAAAGGACCATTTCTCTCGCTGAATGAAACCAACATGGCGTCTTTTCCCGCCTTTACAAGATACCAAAACTCCTGTGAACCAATCGAAGCCACCATACAGGATCCAGATATGGGTATAGCCGAATTTTCTAAAATCAGATTGGTACCAAATAAACCTATCATTGATAAGGAAAAAATCTTTGATCATTATGTGAATTATACGCAAAAGATTCAGAAATTTGGACTGGCTGGCGACTGCTATGCTGGAAACGACAGCAGTGAATGCGGAGTGATTGGTCGCTTCCTCATCAACACTCGAGGAACTGGATTAAGAGTTAAACCAAGCGTTCAGTGGAAGACATGGGGCGTCAACGGAGTCATTATGAATATTACTAGATCTGATGATGGTCACATGATTGAGGGGTTCTGTGGGGGTAATTGTGGTGGGTGTGAACCGGATGGAGATATTCTTCTAGAAATTGACCTTCTTGATACCCCTCTATTTGAATCAGCCGAGTTTCTCATCTGTAAATTCCCTCTGTAGCTTGAACAGAGCACATTACGCCATTATTATACTGTTCAATAGACACTGTGTGACGCTATTATTATACTGTTCAATAGACACTGTGTGACGCTATTATTATACTGTTCAATAGACACTGTGTGACGCTATTATTATACTGTTCAATAGACACTGTATGACGCTATTATTATACTGTTCAATAGACACTGTGTGACGCCATTATTATACTGTTCAATAGACACTGTGTGACGCTATTATTATACTGTTCAATAGACATTGTGTGACACCATTATTATACTGTTCAATAGACACTGTGTGACGCCATTATTATACTGTTCAATAGACACTGTGTGACGCTATTATTATACTGTTCAATAGACATTGTGTGACACCATTATTATACTGTTCAATAGACACTGTATGACGCCATTATTATACTGTTCAATAGACATTGTGTGACGCTATTATTAACTGTTTGATAGACACTGTGTGACGCTATTATTAACTGTTTGATAGACACTTTATGACGCCATTATTATACTGTTCAATAGACATTGTGTGACGCCATTATTATACTGTTCAATAGACACTGTATGAAGCCATTATTATACTGTTCAATAGACATTGTGTGACGCTATTATTATACTGTTCAATAGACATTGTGTGACACCATTATTATACTGTTCAATAGACACCGTGTGACGCTATTATTATACTGTTCAATAGACATTGTGTGACGCCATTATTATATTGTTCAATAGACACTGTGTAACGCTATTATTATACTGTTCAATAGACACTGTGTGACGCTATTATTAACTGTTTGATAGACACTGTGTGACGCCATTATTATACTGTTCAATAGACACTGTGTGACGCTATTATTAACTGTTTGATAGACACTGTATGACGCCATTATTATACTGTTCACTAGACATTGTGTGACGCCATTATTATACTGTTCAATAGACATTGTGTGACACCATTATTATACTGTTCAATAGACACTGTGTGACGCTATTATTAACTGTTTGATAGATACTGTATGACGGCATTATTATACTGTTCAATAGACATTGTGTGACGCCATTATTATACTGTTCAATAGACATTGTATGACGCCATTATTATACTGTTCAATAGACACTGTGTGACACCATTATTATACTGTTCAATAGACACTGTGTGATGCTATTATTATACTGTTCAATAGACAGTGTGTGACACCATTATTATACTGTTCAAAGACATTGTGTGACGCCATTATTATACTGTTCAATAGACATTGTATGGCGCTATTATTATACTGTTCAATAGACATTGTGTGACACCATTATTATACTGTTCAATAGACACTGTGTGACGCCATTATTATACTGTTCAATAGACATTGTATGACGCTATTATTATACTGTCCAATAGACATTGTATGACGCTATTATTATACTGTTCAATAGACACTGTGTGACACCATTATTATACTGTTCAATAGACACCTTGTGACACCATTATTATACTGTTCAATAGACATTGTGTGACGCTATTATTATACTGTTCAATAGACACTGTGTGACACCATTATTATACTGTTCACTAGACACTGTGTGATACCATTATTATACTGTTCACTAGACATTGTGTGACGCCATCATTATACTGTTCAATAGACAGTGTATGACGCCATTATTATACTGTTCAATAGACATTGTGTGACGCTATTATTATACTGTTCAATAGACATTGTGTGACACCATTATTATACTGTTCAATAGACACCGTGTGACGCTATTATTATACTGTTCAATAGACATTGTGTGACACCATTATTATACTGTTTAATAGACACTGTGTGACGCTATTATTAACTGTTTGATAGACACTGTATGACGCCATTATTATACTGTTCACTAGACATTGTGTGACGCCATTATTTTACTGTTCAATAGACATTGTGTGACACCATTATTATACTGTTCAATAGACACCGTGTGACGCTATTATTATACTGTTCAATAGACAATGTGTGACACCATTATTATACTGTTCAATAGACACTGTGTGACGCTATTATTAACTGTTTGATAGACACTGTATGACGCCATTATTATACTCTTCACTAAACATTGTGTGACGCCATTATTATACTGTTCAATAGACATTGTGTGACACCATTATTATACTGTTCAATAGACACTGTGTGACGCTATTATTAACTGTTTGATAGACACTGTATGACGCCATTATTATACTGTTCAATAGACATTGTGTGACGCTATTATTATACTGTTCAATAGACATTGTGTGGCGCTATTATTAACTGTTTGATAGACACTGTGTGACGCCATTATTATACTGTTCACTAGACATTGTGTGACGCTATTATTAACTGTTTGATAGATACTGTGTGACGCCATTATTATACTGTTAAATAGACACAGTGTGACGCTATTATCAACTGTTTGATAGATACTGTGTGACGCCATTATTATACTGTTCAATAGACACTGTGTGACGCTATCATTATACTGTTCAATAGACACTGTGTGACACCATTATTATACTGTTCACTAGACATTGTGTGACGCTATTATTAACTGTTTGATAGATACTGTGTGACGCCATTATTATACTGTTAAATAGACATAGTGTGACGCTATTATTAACTGTTTGATAGATACTGTGTGACGCCATTATTATACAGTTCACTAGACATTGTGTGACACCATTATTATACTGTTCACTAGACATTGTGTGACGCCATTATTATACTGTTCAATAGACAATTTAGATTATTATACTGTTAAAAAGACACTGTGCTATTATTATACTTTCCAATAGACACTGTGTGACGCCATTATTATACTGTTCGATAGCACTGTGTGACGCCATCTTTGTACGTACTGTTCAATAGACATTGTATGACGCAATTTAGATTATTATACTGTTAAAAAGACACTGTGCTATTATTATACTTTCCAATAGACACTGTGTGACGCCATTATTATACTGTTCGATAGCACTGTGTGACGCCATCTTTGTACGTACTGTTCAATAGACATTGTATGACGCAATTTAGATTATTATACTGTTAAAAAGACACTGTGCTATTATTATACTTTCCAATAGACACTGTGTGACGCCATTATTATACTGTTCGATAGCACTGTGTGACGCCATCTTTGTACGTACTGTTCAATAGGCACCATGTGACGCCAATATTATACTGTTCAACTGAATGGACCGACTAAAGATAAATCGTAACTGCTACTAGTTGCTACCAGATGCTTTTCTAAGAAATTTTTTCTATCTTGGAAGGACCATGCCGGCGATTGCATTTTTTTTTAGCTGTCGCTTACATTGCTGTAAATGACTTTTATTATCCATTAAAAATTATTCCTGAGATGATAAGCGCAGGGAGCTAAAGACTAGCTGGTGGAAAAGGTCCTCGAGAACCCATGTTCTTATCTTTGTTAAAAATGGTAGTTCCTTTCTCTTAAAGGAATATAACTTATATAAGACAATTTCATGCGTTCATTTACTTTACATTTCCCTCTATAATATGATTGGATTATGAAATAATGGGAGATAACTCTATTCAATAACTTTCGGATTAGAAATAGAAAAAAAGTCGCCGATCTTCATTAGAATTGTTTTTTGTATTGCTGGCCCCTCCGCTAGGTTTACGTGCATAGAGATTGATTTTCAACGATTGATACAGTTCAATGGTTGATATTGGAAGATAAACCGACGACATTTGTACTCCAGGCAATGGCACTGTCTTCTCAATATATTTCTCATTACAAACTGCGTGACAGTGTCCGTCTTATTAACTAATTTCTAAAAAAGAAAATGAATATACAATATAGTTCAGACTGTTATCACGTCCAGGGCGTTATTAACCTTCTCGTGTAGAGTCGACGCCATAACTGCGCACCATAACGTCACGTAAGGCTCATGGACAAAATTACCACCCGCCCACTGCCAAGTCTTATCTATTTAATGTTTGGTTTAACGAGATGTCTCGTTAATTCATTTACACCATTGACACCAGTAACCTACAGAACATAGTTACCAAGTTTTGCTCATTGGGTAGAATAATAGTTAGGTTGTCAGGCAGTCACGTGATTTATTACGTCATAGCTTCAAATGAAGGAAAACGTTCTCAACATGTCGTTTCCGATTTGTAAATTAAGCGGGAAATGGAATGATTTCCGGTCTGTAGGAGGTAATCATTAATAATTAAAGGATTATAAATAATCTTATTAATAAACAGTTAATATCGAGTGGCAATAAACAAAAAATAAAGTCAGTGAAAGTTCGGTAGTTTCCGTGAATTTCCGTAAAACGGAAACGTGTGGAAGCAATACAAAAATAGTTCGGCAATGAAATCTTCAACAAGTTTAACGCCTCTTGGCACTAAACTACCAACTTGTTTTGGCACCAACAGAGATTGTAGTCTGCACAACAGTGTCACTATGGCAACATATGACTAACTTCCGGTCCGTATAGTCTCGGGACGTTACGTAAGCACCAATAAAAGTCAATAAAACCAGATGGCCCATGATAAGAAACTGGTTGTTGTTTTATTTCTTATCAGCCCGTATCTAAACAGTTACCAAGTGGCCTGGAAAGAGAAAGAATTCGATCCTTGGTAATTGTTGTCTTAGCTATGGGAGATTAGGTGTCCTTTATCAACGGCCATCGAAAAAATGGCGAAAGATCAGCGGGTAAAAATAAACACTCCTGAAAAGTCTGGGCTTAATGATTGCTTACACAACACAGCACATGATATACTGCAGCGCTATGCTTTCTCGTTTCCAGAAAATGCCTGAGAGAGGGGGGGAGGGGCATCATATAACAGCTTGTGATGAACTAGAGAATTAGAATTAGAGAACGATATTGCATTCAATGACTTAGAACTCACCGAATTTCCATTTTGGTGACAGAGAAAAGTCTAAGGAGATAGTCTCTGTCTTGATTTGGTTGATGGGTGCTTGGCACTAGTAGATAGACACCGGGGTCCAGAAAAAAGCGTCCCGCTGTTTCGCGATACTCGGCGTACGTCTCTTCGTTTTCTGGCATCAAGGGGTCAGAATTCTGGAAGAAATCGGCATCCTGTTTCGAGGACGGAATATTATTCAGCTGAAACAGAATAAAAGATCCATACAAACAACTAGGCATAGAGGAGATCAAATTTCTTCGGAAAGCGGAAACAATCTAGGTTCTTGTCACGAAGAAACACCCTGTAGGGGCTGAAATGTATTGTTTTACAAATTTCCGACGTCATTGGTTGTAATGGACAGCCTCGTTTAAAGATATTTCCTATCCAACGCTAGAACCACCAAGCGCTCGGCAACTCTTTCAAGACAGGTCGTTTGCACTTTCAATAAACAATATTCCCTTACCTGAAATATTTCGAAACCAACTGCAAAGAGTTGTTGCCCTTCGATACTGTACCATCGTTTAAAACCCTGCTGTAAGGCGATTGCTAGTGGTAGACGACCTCTGTATCGTCTCTGAACACTTACTGAAAAGCAGAATTCTCAATATTGTTAACCTGTTTGTGTTTTGTTTTTTACGAACATCCGGAAAACACTGCGCATTTGGATCTCATGAGCCAGTCCTTGCATCTGATCTATATAAAAATGAGTCAAGAGGTCAACACACCAACAAAGAAGGATTGTTTGTGCATCCAATCATGCATGTTTAGCTTAAAGGAATACTGCCTCTCTGAATGAACACAAAATTTAGAGTCTCAAGCTTGGTCATATATAGTATATAAATATATTCAACATACCTGGTAAATCCACTGATGAATGTATACTCATTTTGACCAAGACTAAAAATTTAATTTTGAGGAAGTATTCCTGGTTTTTCTAAAATATATTTCTTAAACTTACTGTTAGAATGTAGTGTCAACAGATATTGAGGATTCTGGTGAAAACTGTCGCATTCCAACCAGCCTCCAGCATTGACACCTGTCTTCCACCTTCCTTTTAAACTGTGTTGGTATTCTGGAAATTAAACAGAATAGTATTCAGGCACGGTGTCGTTTTCGCCTTCTTTAACCGTAGACAAAAGAAACAACCATCTTTTACAACTAAGGCTCACGAATATAGATCCTGTCTACCAGCTGGTCCATGATCACAACTCGTGGTCGAGGCGTTCACCTTTCACAGATTACATGAATGGAATTACAGCGGTAGGTCGACTGGAATCATTTGGGAGATCTGAGTTTAATAGACTTTCACTATGACCTATGACTACCATTTGTTCAAAGAGGGGACAACCCGGACAAGGCTGTCGTAACTGTAGCCAATTTGTTTCGCAGGAGAAATCGTGAGCAGTCTGAAGGCAATCTTTCTCCATTCTCAATTCTCTTACGGTTTCCTGGATTATACAGATTCATTGTAGGTGGTTAAGCAAGTTTAGTGATATGCTGCATTCGAATCGTGCCAATATGTGTTCATATAAATGTGTTCCACTATAGTGACTTATATTTGTGTAAATAATTGTACCTTCGATAACACTTACCAGCCTTATCGCTAACCCCATCGTGGTCAAAATCAGGCGATAAATTACAAATAATCATGTTACAAAACTCTTTTCTAAAATCACTAAACGACATCCAGAATTCCCCGTCGTCTTGTGACGTCACTTCCAGTTCTAATTTTATATGTTCCGGTACTCTCAACCATTCGTCACATCTGAAAATATAAATATAATTTATTTGATAGACCGCTTTAGCAACCATTGGTTCTCTGGATACACTGGTGTACTAGCTAACAGTACCGGCTAACAATCAGTACATCTGAAAATCTCTATTAAAACTAAACCTTAAATACAACGACCTATTGTTGGGTTAATGAATGGTAATTTCATGCTGCGCATTACAATTAAACTAAAGGGAGTTAACTCTATTCCGCGTTAACAAGAAAATCGAGAAATCCGAACTTATCCGAGATCTACCAAATAAAGACCCAAGATCAAATATTCGTGTCATTAAAAAGCTTATTTTATTGTCTGCTGTTGGTTGGAAAAGAATGGTGCAAAAATATAGATCTGAATAGAAAAACGAAACGCAAGAAACACATCGAAAAGTTGCATAACCTTGGCCTTTTTAACTTGTGGTTACCCAGACGTAAGTTTGTAATAAAAAAAAACAATCACTTTATTGATATCGATCTTTGAAAGTTTTATATAATTATTGATTTTTAGATCAAATGATAATTTCTAGACGAATATTGATTTTGATGCTGAAAATTATGCAACATCATAACATTCTTAAGGGATATAATACCTTAATCTTTTGATTTTGTGACAAGTACACAGTAAGCCGACATTGATATCGCTGTGCCCGACAAAATCAATCGATTTATTTTTCAAAAGTTATATAGATAAATATTTAAATGTTGTTTTGGCATTGAAAGCATTCTTTTGATTCAGGTCGATGAAAAGAGAAATTGAATTGCTACTTTCGTTTTACTTTGTTCACCTCTGAGCCTCGCGTTTCCGGATTAGAAAGGTAATTCAGTTTTAGCCACGCCTCTTACATGTCGGACTTGTTCTGATTCTAGTAACTACGCCAAATGAGTTGTTTCTCTGCTTATGACCATTCTCAATTGATTGTGTCTTGTAATAACGACCATAACACAACATAACAGACGCACATATTTACTAAATATTCAAAATAAATTGTACGGACATACGTCAAATTTTCATTTTTAAAAGTACCACGTTAGATGAAATTGAGGTATATCAACTAATAAAGCAAATATTTTAGAAGATTGGATCACTTTAAACTTGACAATATCTTTCAATTTATATCAGAATCAGATTCGATCAATAGTGGAAAATATGGAACAATTACGAGATTTATTCGTTGCAGATCGATAATATTCAAATTTAAAAAGAAAAAAAAAGTGTTTCGTGCTGTGAACTATAAAATTGTTATTATTTAAAATCTAATTACAGGTGAAAGATTTTTACAAATATGCTATTTACTTGTATGTATCTTCTTGATCAACCTGAATTTGTTTGAAAAAGGGTTAATTAAAAACCGAGTGTACTAATTTCAAGTAAATTTTACGTAAATCTTTTAAATAGTTATATCGTTCTAAAAACTAACTTTTAAAGGTACTATTTCATAAGTTAAGAAAAAATAAGGGAAAAATTTGTTCATTGTATATTTTTGGTGGATAGTTTTCATTACTTTGAGCACCTACCCAAACAACTAAAATAAAACCAGACTGTCCCTTTAAACCGAACAGTAAGAACAGATCGAATTTCAATAAATCAATATATCAATACTGTAGAACATGTTTTTAATGACTGATTGGAGAATCAACTGATTGATTATATTGATTGGGTATTGATTTTGATTTAATATCGATAATAGAACATGTCAGTAGAATTAAGTCAGGTCACGTGATTATTGACGTCAATAACAAGACAATTCCCCGTATGGGACGTTTCGTACTTTCTAGTGACCTTCATGCGTGTCCCTGTAGAATACCAGTTTAATAAAGTCATAACATGTTTGTGTTGATTGTCAACCACTGGCTTTCGTGTTGAATCCAACCAAATAAATACACGGAGTTTTACGCTCAACTTTACGATCTTGATTGGTCTAATGGAGTATAGTGGGGCACATTTGCAGCTTCAGTCTTCAGACTTCAAACTTACTTTGGGAGTAACTCAGTCTAGTTAAAATTAGACCAAACTTTCGTTCCGTTATTTCATTAGCTTTTTTTTTAATATAGCCACTTCATGAAGTTAGGGTCTAACGACAGCCAACTTGAAGTTGAACGTTCGTCAAATAAACCTTAAGACCTAGCCTGATAAACGTCACAAAATGCCAGGCTGGATAGGGTAGAAATTTGATTGGATTAATGTAGACGTCATCGAGTTAGGTCAAATTGACGAACGTCCAAGAGGGCTGTCGCTAGACTTTAATCGAAGTCGATATATTAGAAATAAAAGCTAATAAAAAAACCGGAACGAAAGTTTGGTCTAATTTTAATTATACTGGAGAGTAGCTGTCATTGCAGGATCATAGTTTTTGAAAGAACACACACTTAACCATCGCTCGCCATTCTTAAAAAATTCTTGAAATATGACCTCACAAGTGTATTCCTTAAAACTTTGTTGAGTGCCACACACAAGGCCCACGTCCACGTGTTTGTCACTGTTCTAAATTCACGTGACAGTCCTGTCGTCTCAAATAATTGGCCAGAATATCAAAAAGTTAAAAAGCTCCAAATCCCGTGATAATAAACCAGGTAGAAATCCATTAATAAAGTAATGAATGTAATTTAACTATATTAGAGATAGTTCATTAGTCTACGTGTCTATTATATTTTATGATATTATAATAAAGTTACTCATTAAAGCAGGTCATTGGCCCATAACCATTGAAAATCTCACTAAATCTGGTATTCACAGGGGTTGGCCTTATTTCACTTTCCAAACAACGATGAGTCGAAGAACTCTTGACAGTTAGAAATCAAAAAAAAAAAACCAGAAGGCTAATGACGTCGCCCCTGCAAATAAGCCCTATCACGATGACACCCTGCATGTCTTTACGGATTCTCGTTCCCGTTAGGTTCAGAAAGTAGGTACTCCAATTCATTTCGTGCCATTTGTAGAAAATTATAAGAGATCTGCAAATTCCTAGAGAAGGCTTATAGGCTTGCAAACTTTAAGGAGCCTAAAAAATGAAAATATCAGTCCTCTGGGGCCTTCCGAACTGAATGGCATGGCTCGTTCCCATGTGCTCAAACAGGTGCAGAAAAGTAGGGCGTAAAACTTTAATTAATTTCGGGGCTACTATGTTGTTTCATTATTACATTCAATATTAATTTTGTTGTAACGTAATCAGAGCAAACAAGAAAAGGTCAAAACTCTTTTGTACTGAGTAGGCTATCGTATTGTTTAAAAATATAATTAAATTCGCTCTACAAATCACCATATTGAGCAATTTTTCAACCTTTCATTATCAAACTATCATCTAATATCATTAATTAAAGTTAAACATGAAAATACCATAAATATTTATTGTCCGCCATGTTGTTAGTTTCGTATAATTTGAATCAAATACCTTAGCAACGAAATGAACTTCCGGTTGTAACGTCATTAAAAGGATCAATCAATGGCGAGATGTTGTATAAAATGAAAGGTTAGGAGTTGGTCGATATGAAGCAATAATTAGTCAAGGAACCACAGGTAGTTATTGGTTCCTGGCACGTTATTTAGACAAATAGATTTTATGTAAGAGATACTTAATCATACATGGCGACACATTAACCTCATAACTCCCGAATTATTCATAAGTTTGGAGCAGGAATTAACCCTTCCTCGTTGAGATATATAAACTTTTCGCACGCAATCAATTAAAGGTAAATGTCAAGACTGATTCTATTATTATCACTTGAAGCCAGAACTTCCTAAAAGGAATACCGTATATGTGCGAGTATAGTGCGCAGTATTTACCCTAAAAAATGTTGTAGGTTACCATATATTATATTGTATAATAACTATTATACTATAACATGTTAAATTTATATATAAGACAATACAGATGGATACTTCTAGAATATTTATTACTTTCAACGTTTCAATGTGGTTCTCACACTCATCAGGAATATAATGATACTTCTAGAATATTTATTACCAATAAAAATTCTAGTTCCATCCGTAATAATTGTCTTATTTATAAATTTAACATGTTATAGTATAATATTTCAACATTAAACATGTAAATGGATAAATAATCTCACTTTGATTATAGCATTTCTTGTCGAATAAAATAATTACTCTTAGTAGGCCTACATCTATAATATTTACATTGGGATGTTCTATCTTTACATCTCATAAGTGAGCGAGAAATATCTCAAATTAATCAAACAAGAAAAATTTAAAACGCGCAGGTTTCATTCATAATTAACTATATTACATGAACATAAAAATTAATTCCTTACCCATCACTCCAAGCACCTTCCCATTCTGTTTCTCCCCACGGGTTTCGAACTCGTACAAGTTTCGCCGCCCTATCACGGTACGGTATTTCTTCTATGTCGGTGATGACGTACGAGTGATTTGATATCATCCCCTTTTTATTCTGGTCTGACTGTTCTTCCTTATCCTGGAAACAACCAAGAAAATAATCTGGAATGATCCAGGGTCGCAGTTGGAACATATCATATCTATCTCATTGATTGCGTCGACTAAAATTTAAGTAGGCTAATGTTTGAGTTTGAACAATGAACGCCATCTTGGATTGAAGAAAAACTGCAGATCGGACTTTCAGTATGATGTTCTCTGGATATATTGTCCTATCCTGGAAAAATCATATCGTTTTTCAAATTTTCCAGATTCCTATTTTGATCTAATGTTCTTGGCCTATCATTATTGGGATGGTGAAGACAGTTAACGTCAAGATGACTGTAGTATGCAAAGGGCAAATAATGCCAGAAAACAACATCTGACGACATATCCTTAACCTGGCTGACCTCTCGGGGACACAGGTACTCTTTCAACCAACAAAGGTGGTACTTACGATACTAAGGCAACCTATAACAGCACCACATAAAAACGCTGTGCGGATCAGATAGAAATCGGGATCCTTCAGTTCTTTAGGATTATACCATTCAGCCAGACCACCCGTTAGATCTGTGAACGCATCAGCTTCAAAACCATATTCTAAGGCTTCGTATGATTTATTTAACCTGAAAAAAAAAACAACATATCTGAACGAATCCTATGATTACCCAAGTTTGTGGAAGAGAGCACAGGTACTTGTGTTTGTGGAAGAGAGCACAGGTACTTGTGGACAATATAACCTTTGCTGAAACTTTGAGATATTATCTATCGACTTATATATATGTATCATAAAATGTATAATGTATATCGACCGGCAAAATCTCAAAAGCTTCACCAGAGATTATACTGTCCACAAGTACCTGTGAAAGGGGACTGAGAATGCTGTAGCTAGTCCCACAATATACCAGGGTTTGTGACCGACCTTTACTACCCGCCGGATCCCTAAAACTGAAAAGGGAAATTAAAGATATAAGTCCACTTCGAAGGGATTTAATCGTCTAAATATTTCGAGTTATGTGAGTTGTTACTATGCTTCATATATTAGTTATTATCTGAAAAGCGAACATCAACAATTTCCTTGAGGGAAAATATTTCGACGATAATAAATCTCAGTACAATTACCCTTTTAAAATCATTGCAAAATATTTCAAATTGATCAGTCGATTAGTCGATCAGAGTTACTTACTTGGCATATGCTTTCTCCACCAATGACACCCAAAATTCACTAGGGTCTGATGAATGGGCAAAAAGAATTTCACCATTGACTGTGGGTAGAAGATCATCTATGTAGACGTCTACCCAATTTCCAAATTGCCAAAATCTACAGTGGAACTTCCCGTCATAACGTTTCGTTCCGAACGTATTGTCATCCGGGATGATCTGAAAATATATGGAGACTTAAAATAAACACGAAAACAAGCTACATATAATAAAATATCATAGTGATAACAATCTGAACCGCAAATGAGAACCCGAAATTCAAAATAACAGTTTGGTAAGACATGAGTAGCAGAATATGTACTTTTCATATGAGGAAATTTATCAATTATATTATTAATATGATCTTTTTTATCTAAAATTAACGTTTTGTGCCTATAAATATGAGAAGGTGCAAAAACGTGTTTTTGATATCGACATATTTTCTTCTACATAAAGAGTACAAAGCTTTAATATTCTAAATATTTTGAGAGTAAATTGGTCTAGATAATTGGGTATTTAATTAATTGATTCGTACGTGTTACAGAAAGTATTAAAAGTACCGTTATAATAAGCTCAATAAAGTGTTTCCTAATATAGGCTCTGATAGTGTTGGAATATCACTAGGTTATATCGGGAGATAGAGGTTTACAATGGCTAGGTATTGATCTCAATAATATTTAATATTCATACTTGTATCAATAGCACAATTAGGGTTCGATTCTGACCTATTGTTTATTATTGTTCCAGATCTGTTGGTCGGTTAGATTCGGAAAGATTCCGTAGAACTCTGCCTCCCCTCTCACCCTTATGGGCGCCTTGTAGTATTGTTCCAGTTCTGTTGCTCGGTTAAATTCGGAAAGATTCCGTAGAACACTGCCTCCCCTCTCACCCTTATGGGCGCCTTGTAGTATTGTTCCAGATCTGTTGGTCGGTTAGATTCGGAAAGATTCCGTAGAACTCTGCCTCCCCTCTCACCCTTATGGGCGCCTTGTAGTATTGTTCCAGTTCTGTTGTTCGGTTAGATTCGGAAAGATTCCGTAGAACTCTTCCCCCTTTCTCGCCCATCTTATGGGCGCCTTGTAACATAAAATTGTCAAAGAAGCTTGTATTTGTTATTTTTCTTAAAAATATTAAAACTTGTATTAATAGCTCCATTAGGGCTAGATTCTGAAAGATTCCGTAGAACTCCGATCCCCAGTCTTGTTGGCACCTTGTAACAAAAATTTGTCAAAGAAGCTTGTCGGGAATGTATTCCCCACCTTTTGAAAATTCAAAATAGGAAAGTTTTCCCTTAAAGGTAATAAATATTCTAACCTTTGCCATAAGTTGAGGTTTTTCAGCAATGGCGGACAACGTTGACAGAAACCAACAGTCGTTCAGGTCACCTTGTTTCATATCATGACGACTGGTACCATCTGATATTAAACTTGGCTTAGCTACTATCTCCTGCAAAATAATCAAAATGGAATTTTACATCATTAGTCCGACATCCAAACCGATATAAAAGCAGGTTTATCACTCATACAAATTTAATGTAGTTTTAAGTCATTATTTCGGTTTGTACTACCTAATATTTAGCTCGGCTACTATGTATCAGAGGCGAAGCCAAAGGGGGGCAGTTCGTGCAAAAATCTCATAACTAAGTTAGAAATTCGGGCAAAACCTGATATTACACGATTGTTCCAGTAAAATTTTCAACCTTGATATAGCGAACCGAATAAATTTTATTCATACTGTTATGAATGCAGGACACAAGCTATCTGAAGAGTCAAGGTCACATGCAAGTAGGTCAAGGTCAATTTGACCATCAGAAATATGTCGTGAAACATTAAAATGCAAAATGTCAAGAGGAATTAGATCTGAGAGTTGGGGATTTAACACAATTCCGAGTCTTATCGTAAAGGTCATTCGTAGTTTTCTTCAAGCCTGAAAGTTGCCTTATCTTTAACTCCTGATGTTCTGACTGATAGCTGTCAAATGTCAACAGTTTTCAAAATAATGTTTTTATTCGACCATTGTTTTTTCTGAACTGATATTTTTAGCGAAGACAATTTTCGAGTGGTTCTGTAGTTTATTTCCTATAAAATGTAGTCAAGCATTCTCAAGGGGGGATTTGATGCTTGATGGCCAAATTGTATTTGAATTATCAACACCGTTTTGTAGTCATCTGGTTAAATGTATTTAGAATGAATCCGATGTCTCCCTAAACTACGGCCTGTCGGAGTTGTCTGTGGTTTATTATCATCGCATATTCTATTGTGTATTGCGTGTGGCGCTGTGGTAAAATCAATCATGACCGTGTTTATGGCCTGTCGGAGTTTTCTGTGTTTTAACTACATCGTAATTCTTACAACCTATTTTTTATTTGCTCGGTGGTAGTATCTATCATGATCGTTTAAGGCCTGTCGGAGTTGTCTGTGGTTTATTGACATCGTATATTCTTTTGTTCGAAACTCTCTTGTCAACAAAAATCACGATTGTCGTCAAACTACGGCCTGTAGGAGTTGTCTATGGTTTATCGACATCGTATATTCTATAGTTCCAAGTCTTATGGTAAATTCTACCATGTCGGGGTTGTCTGTTGTTTATCGACATCGTATATTCTATAGTTCCAAGTCCTATGGTAAATTCTACCATGTCGGAGTTGTCTGTGGTTTATCGACATCGTATATTCTATAGTTCCAAGTCCTATGGTAAATTCTACCATGTCGGAGTTGTCTGTTGTCTATCGACATCGTATATTCTATAGTTCCAAGTCCTATGGTAAATTCTACCATGTCGGAGTTGTCTGTTGTTTATCGACATCGTAATATTCTATAGTTCCAAGTCCTATGGTAAATTCTACCATGTCGGGGTTGTCTGTTGTTTATGGACATCGTATATTCTATAGTTCCAAGTCCTATGGTAAATTCTACCATGTCAGAGTTGTCTGTTGTTTATCGACATCGTATATTCTATAGTTCCAAGTCCTATGGTAAATTCTACCATGTCAGAGTTGTCTGTTGTTTATCGACATCGTATATTCTATAGTTCCAAGTCCTATGGTAAATTCTATCATGACAGTCTCCATATCATCTATAATTTATAAATCTATTAACATGATACTGATTTTTATTTTTTCACGAGAATAAAAGTTTTAATGTCCAATATATATTTATCTGCTAGCTGGTATGTCTGTGAGAGAGATATCGTGATGAAATCACGGCAATACGGACACTCAATTTACGTCGTTTCATAAAGTATTCAATTGTATTCAAGTCCCCACCCCTCAGAAATCTATAATTCTGATTTTAACTTAAATCTTTTCATCATCCTACATGTTATTGCCAGCTCATTGATTGAAAATGGAGTCACCTACAGGTAAAAAACGAAACGAAACATCGAGATTTGTATTTTAAATTTGAATTTGCAATTAGAGATTGGAGGTGATCCAATGTCTCTGAAAGTATAGGAAACTGAAAAGTCAAGATGCCTTAAAGTCGATCTATGGAGCAAAAATAGTTGTGGTAACGGAAATATTAAAGGGATTGTAAAGAAATCTCCAGTCTTTGTATGAGTATCGATTACCCTGTTAGCTTTCAAAACTTTACAATCCCTTTCAGACAATCTAAATGAAAATCTAGGCATACTACTTCAATCCAACAGAGAAGGAGTAATTTGTTAAAGTAAATATTCTTTATTAAAATCAATACAGATCTTAAATAAATGATCATACTAAGGAAAACAAAACGCTTCATTTCAGTTTAATTTATATTGCAAATGATCTACATGTTCTTTCCAGTCGACTGAAGGAATTTTTCCAATCGAGTGACTTGTTGCTATTGGAGATAATTATGCAACATTTTCTTATGATCAATCATTATGCCTGTATAATTCTTGTTCAAGTGATACAGTCCCGTAATTTAGAAGATATATTTCCCTAATCAGATAGTAACCGAAAGGGACATAATCTGAATTGTCCATTTTAACGCCCCTGATGCCCTTCTTGCTGAACTTGGCGCCCCGTTTGAAAGAAAAATCAACTGTAATTATAAAACACCATTATTTCAAATTGTACAAGGGATGTGTCGTATTTGAAGGAAAGTAGGGATTTAAATTGTTGGAGAGCTTGTTTTGGAAATTAGAAATATGGAAAACAAATTGGACATTTAAGTGTATCAAACTATGGCTGCGAATAGAATAGTCTTATGCCATGTGCGGTTTGTGATTATCGTTCGTGTTCGCATCGTAATCGGACTATATATCACCCAGCCGCGTACACCGCCAGGGTCTATTCATACCTTTATAGACTCACTTACCCCTGGTCGTTTCCAAACGATGTGTTTCTCTGTGGTTTTCTTCTTGTAAATACTGGAGAGTTCAGCTGGGAATTCCGTGTCCACAAACAAACCCTCTGGTAGAGCTTTCATAGATCTCGGCGTCTGAAACAAACAACAACTCACAACTTTACTCATTTTCACTTACAGATTGGTGCTCTAATAGTTAGACTATTCGGCAAACCTCGGTAGTTTCCGTATTGCAGGGCGAAAGTGAAAGTTTTACGATTGGCTGCTTGGAGCTCAATATATGGATGACTTCATGCACTGTGCAATGGCCAAAATTTTGTCTGTACATATTCTTGATTTACGAACCATTCGGAATTCATTTGTGGCCCAGGTTCCCACCCTTGGGTAGCCTACTAGCAAACAAAACAAAGGGTGCCTAAAGAGAGCTCTTGGACACTGTTAGACCTCTGTTGACTGTGTTAACAATTCACGACGTTTAATGACCTTTATCTCGCTTCTTTTAACTTTAATCAAGAACTTGTAGATCATTCGAAGCATTCTAATACAAGATCTATTGAGAATTAAACCCTCGAATTCTTGATAAAAAAAACCGATTATGACGTAGGCCTAGGGTTACCAACAGCAATTTTGGATCACACAGATAAAAATGTTTCTTTCCGTAATTTGTCTCGAAGCTACTGCCAATAGTACAAAATCCATTTCAATAAATATGACCAGAAGTGACCCAATTCTTTGTGAACGGGGTCACTTTATAAAGACAATGAAGTTATATTAATCTGTATATACAAAGTGACAACAAAGAACATCAATATCTTGTACTGAAGAAGACGTACCACTTGAATGTCGCAGGCCAAGCTTTATTTTAAACAAAAAGGTCTAAAGTTAAATGATAGAACTTGAAATCCCGAGAGATCGTTATAAAAACAATTGACTATGAAAAGGAGCCATCGACTGTTTTTTTATACAAAAATTCATTCATGTGGCACAAAAAACTGTACTGCTTGTGGCCATGACAACAAAACTTGACATTGATGACGTCAATTCCATAGTTACCAATGATCAAAGAACGAACGCGGCCATATTTGGTTTGATAAACGCTGTCATTAGGCGATGTTTATTGGTTATATTAATTGGCTGACTTATGAATGTTTAATTATAGAGCACTGAGAGACAATTTATCAACACGACGACAAATTATTTTAACAGACATTTTATCTACTTGTTAGATTAATTAGGTTATGGAATTCTATAAGCATAATAGCCTAGACATGTTTACCACAGTCCAGGGATGGACTTAATCACTTAGACAGTAAGAACACCATATCGTAATGGCATTGCTTCTAACCATCCCTCTTCTTCACTTGCCAGTGTTAAGCCAATGGAATGTATCCAATTCTTAGCTCTACCAGGTTGACCCTGACGTTCATGACCACGTGACAAATTTAAAAAAAAAGTACCCTATGTCTGTAAAGGGTCACCAATTTGTTGAACTTATACATATTCTTAATGGTAATAGGTTATCTGCATGTAAATGGGTAAATGTTCAAAACGCCTGAATGTCATAACAATCTAAAATTCCGCTGTTCGTTTTTTGGTTGATTGCAAGAGAACAGGTCGTTGAGATTCTAATTCTAAAAAGCGGCACATTGAGCTGAAACAAACATATATATACCAATATATCCCTTTACGTTGTCTAAGCCATGTGGCATCATTGCATGAACATATGCTGAGAGCTCGTTCAAGTGTCCAGAGACAATTTCTAGCACGGATGACGCCAAACAACATTGTTCTTAACAAATGACGTATTATGTAAATTATTAATCGCCATATCTTGTGTATTAGCTTCTACATTGTTGTTAATAACCGTAAAGACATCATAAATTCTATAAATAGATCGAACATTCCGGTTTATTATTCCAATTCATTGACCTATGAATAATAAATCACCGGTAATTCTCTGGGGAGCTTGATATACGCATAGACAATTTTAGAATATTGACAATTTATATTATAGACGAGCCGCGGGTAATCATCTCATCTTCACAATGTCAAGCTATTACGAACTTCGTGTTAATACTTTGATTGCAATAGCCTTCTGTGACTCACACACTGGCTATTGCAGTCAAGGTATAAGACGAAGTTCGTAATATCTTGATATTGTGAAGATGTGAGTAAAACAAATCGAGATTCTTAAGGTTACATTGACTCTTTTCAAACCATAGTTTTCTCGAAGCTTTGAGGCAGATCGGAGAGATTGAAGCGGAAAAAGAATACACCCTCGGGGATGATCGATGTCCCTTTGCTTCAGACTGTGCATTTAGAGCTAAAGATCACGGTAGTTGAATGCAGTGTCGTATCCTGATATACGACACTGGTTGAACGTATTTGCTACCTAGATCGTATCGTCATGGAAGCAAATGAGGCAAATACCTCAGTTTTGAAACGTTGACCAAACAAAAGTGTCTGTTTTCAATTGTTTTTTTTTTAATCCACCCAGATCCCCCTTTGCTTTATTTTAACTTAGAGTGTGCTGACCATTTTGTAATCATTAGCTAACAGGGTTCAGAAAAATAGGACAAACGGTGACTGCAAAGGTGAAGAATATTTCATTTTCATTCACAAAAGAGACAATTATACTTAATATATTTAATTTGTATTTATCATCTAATTTTTTCATTATATTGTCCTCATGGGCTGAATATTAGACAGGACCATGTCCTTGTGTACTGGACCTAATTCTGACCCATGTAAAATAAGCAGTTTATCATTATTATTATTATTATTGCATCGGTGAGCAAGTGACGTAATGTTGTTATAGATAACGTCACCGATTCTTATACTTCTCTGCAGTTGTAAGCTGGAGACACATATAAATACATAAAAGCTTACCTTTCCACCTCCGTGCCCGACCACACTGGTCCACGTCCTGGGGGTCAGTCTATCACCTCGTCCTTTAGGGTATAGAATTTTGGCTGTTGATAGATTGAGAGATTGGTTGGGTTGCAGGGAACTAACAGAACATCCCATGTCTTTTTCCACATCCTCGGATCAAGACCGGACTATACATTCCAGGAGCTTCTGAGTTGTTGTCTTTGTTGGTGGGTACAATTTTTTGGTACCCTGGTTCGATTCTCTGTTTTTAAATAGAACAATATCAAAGGTTATAAGATACTGGATTGAAAAATAAAGACAATGGTTACAAGAGATTTTGCACATGGTGGTAGTACTTTTTTTGATAAAAAATTTACGTGCGAAGAGAAGACATTACAGTCCCCGATACACATAAAAAGTTTAGAATACCTCTTTCTCATTTTTATTGTAAAATTAGATCAAGATTGTCTCTAGTCAATTCAAAAAATGAAATTGAATTCATCATTCCTGAAGAAGACCTCTTCTGCCGAAATTGTGATAAAGTGACAAAAATTAGACGTTTTGTTTTTGTTTTCATGATGTAGAGGTAATCGGTAGCAATCAAGACAAATGAGATGAATAAATGAGTTTTAATTCCTACTTTTCTGCACCTAATGGGCTAATGATGAAGAGGGTTTTAAGACAGGACTGAAAAGGGAATTACGATCATAATATGTAATTGTGTGTCTAATAATACTATATTTTCTCTTCATCTTTGATAACCAAAGGAAAATATTACCTCAATTAATTCAATTTATTTTATGTGTTAGTCACATTATTATCGCAACCATACATTTTCATATATTCATTTATTTTCATTCTTATTTTTTGTTTATCATTTTGTAAATATGTTATTGTAGTTTTATGTAGAAAGATCCCAGGGAAGATTGCCTTGTGCAACAAGGTGTCAAATAAAGTTATTATTATTATTATTATTAGCAGACAATGGTATATATTTACTATCATTAAGATTGAAAATAGGCTATTATCAGGATGCAGCCAATATTTTAATATATATTTACTTGAATCTGTTGACTACTTGGAGTTTACTTCAGGAAAAAACCAGAAATGATTTATTGCTAAATTCGCAGTTCTACAATATACCTGTCGTGCATCAGAACAGAATTTCTGGTTTTAAAGGAAATGGAAGATTTTATTTTTCCTTTTCCCCATATGAAAAGTTCTAATGTTTCGCCAATATGTTGTTTTGATTTCGAGTTCCGTTTTGCGGCTATCGTCGTTTGTACTACGTATATTCTATTGAGTAAAACTCCAATATAGAAAAGGACGGTAACCAAATTTCAATATCTTTACCAAATAGTGCTACGTTTTAAATACTTTTTTTTTAAATTTTAGTTACCAAAGCATGCAAATAGAATTTTAGACGATGTTTCTTACAATTATGGTGGAGATAAAGCCAAACTTGTTCTGGACCAATTTTGCCATTTGCGATGCCTTGAATCCATTTTTATCAACTAAAATATTACGCAATGCCTGCAATTTTATGATGTGATTGTATACATGTTTTGGGACAATTCAGAAACTTATTCTCTGCTACAGAAAAGTGTTCCGAATTCTAAATCCATTTTCAGACAGTTCAATTTGAAAAAGTGAGTAAAACGTACATGTAATTTATATATAAAGTATTAAGTGCATATAATATCAATATTCAATGTAGTTTATCAACCCTGACATTCTTTCCAAGTAGATTAACCCAATGACAGATATCCCACAAATTGGGGACTTGACCAAATATGGCATTGACGTAACATAAACCGTCTTTTATCTTTATTAATGGGGATAAATTCTGAGTAATTCCAAAATAAACATCTACTCAGACCACTTACCTTGTCTCAAAGGTCAAAAGTTAAACCACAAAACCTCACACAATATTTTCCAGTAGAAGTGCAGGAACTTCCCGTACAATTTGCCTGTCTTTAAGTTAAACGATCTTTTCAAGTAGACGTACACGCAGTATCCGTACAATAATGAAACGGTGTCGAGTTCACACTTGTGAACGTTTTGATTTAAAAAAAAAAATATTCGGTTAACAATCAAACAACTATCCGTAGAACGTTTGGCAATGTAGGGCTTACACTTTTTTTAAAACCTTTTCACTATTTAAGGGATACGTTTAAACAATATCCACGCTAAAATACGAGAAAAGCTAATTTCACACAAAGAAATTGAAATATCGCAATATTAAGGTATTTAGTTAAAAATACCACGTCACAAAAATAAGCTGGAAATAAAGATAACAGATGAATATCACTTGTCCGATGCTGAAGTTTACTAAAAATCCTATTGGTTTATGTTTTTCTGCAATCCTAATAAATTCTGCTAACAAAAAGCTTTCAAAAACTGAAAATTAAAACAGAACCATACACCTGAAAATCCAATGAAACATTACTAAAAACACGTGTACTTTTATAAACCTTCCGATGCTAACAAACAATCACTTCTAATAATTTCACATTTGTTTCCTTTCGAGTCTAAAATAGAGTTACATTCCGTAAGACATTACGTCAAAAGACGAACGTTTTCAAAAAAATTCTGCTGAGACCGAATTTCAAAAGAGCATAACATTTAAAACAACACACACGTCACTGTGGTAACGTCCCATCACAACACCAAACGACATTCAATAAAAAAACCGGGAATAGAAAATTGAGCAGAAGTCTTATGACGTCTGCTAGATATTGATTTGGCGCGCTCAATAGATACAGTCGATATAGTTAGTAATGATTACAGATTTTCAATAATTTAATATTTTTATAAATCATCCGATCTATACAAGAGTTGATAACTCGGTGTTTGTTGCCCTGTAACGGTCGTTATTCCCTTGTCAGTGGTACAGACTGGAGGAGCTGACATGAATGGACTATAAACTAACGCTCCATGAGCTACAACAGGGTGACAAGTTGAATCTGCATACGGGTTGCTAACTCAGTGCTTGATGACAGTGCTTTATTTAACTATGGTTTCTATTCTCTTATTTGTCAGTTACATGATATACTTCTTTATTAGCAGCTAAACCAATATTTCGCCAAAATGTTGTTTTAGATTTCGGGATTGTTTTGCGGTTCCGATCGTTAGTACATGGTTAATTTATTACATCCTCGTTTCATTTTCATTTTGAATTTGTGAAGATGAGATCCTACGATCACCGTATAATAACCAGGGACTTTAGGGTTAAAATCCAGCTCTATCGAAATGAAATGGTTGTTGTTTATCGAATGATTAAACTAAATTATTGTTGATTTCTGTTGTTTTCTGACATAAGGACACTAAATACACTAAGAAATACATGTGTAATATATTGATTGAATAATGACAGTCGGGACCTTTAGATTATCATTTAATTATTCATTAGTATACAGTATGTTTGTCGAGGTGGATACACAAATACGGCCGCCTTGAACCTTCGTAATTTATGATGTTTTACTTTAAACTGTTTAGTCTTTGCAGGTCCCCCTTTCGTTATTACAGAAGAACATGAAAGGAAAGGGTGAGTGTGTATGTGTGTATGAGTATAAACCGCTAGGTTTCAAACCCATTTAGTCAAAATTAGATAACATTTGTATCTTTTTGTTTTCTACCATTTTAGTCTACATTGTAAGTTATGAGGTTTTCTACTGTCCCAAAGGTAGTATTTTAAACCAATCAAAGCGTGTCATGCAGAACCCAAATCTTGATACAACTAGGAATTGTGGGATATCGAAACCTAAAGCAGAGCAATTTGACAGCCTCTTTGGGTCCATTTCGATTTGTCGAGAGGTCTGTATCACGTACGCATGCACAGACTGTGGCAAACTCGGCTCGTGTTTACTGTCCCCGACGAACGACTGACATTTTGGCAAAGTCACCGTTTCAAAAGAACCTATACCACTGACAAGATGAAACCAGATTGAAAAGAAGGATCTACTATCGTGATCTATGACTGGAACAAAACCATAAGCACTACTTTCTGATGCCTGTACCAGTGCTTTCGAGAGTCGGCATGATGTTGGCATTCCACCGCCTAACCAAGAAAAGTGCCATGTACGACGCCGACAAACCGTGAACGTTCGGTCAAAGAACCCCAACACGGAGTGCACAGAAAAATGATTGCCTAGCAGTATTCCACTTCAAATTGGTAATAATCAGCAATTATCACTATCGTTTTTAAAAATTAAACTCATTTACAGGGTTACCAATGCAGAGGAAAAAAACAACTAAAAAATGAAATAGAAAAACAATAATGTTCGAATATGTTGTCCCTTGATATATATTGGTGATTAGTCATTTCCAAGGCAAAGACATTTTTTTTGTTACGCTGAAAATATATGAAAAGATAAATTACTTGACATTACTTGTAGATTGAATACAAATTGTAAATCTACTCGAGTTATAAATACAGTATAGAAAGCAAGTGTTCTAGATGCTAGAACCGCCCAAAGTAACCATACGTGCCCCTCCCTCAATGCACATACAAAGGCGAGAAAATAAGACATAAGAACATTTCTCTTTACCAAAGCATAAAGCATTCAAAAGTGGATGTAGCCTACAGTTAAACCAAATTTATTTTGTTTATTTAAGGATTCCCAGGTTGGGAGTAGCCCAGAGGTGAGGCGGTCGCGGTGTGATTACACCTTCAAAGATAGAACCCAAAAAGTTGCACATGTTTCAATATGGCAATATTTGCATTCCAATTCTTCAATAATGCCCAACATAAGGTCCATTGAAGCAAGTAAAGTAGATCACGGGAGGTAACTCTTTTATCGTCTGCTCTTTCGTTCACTTATACTTGATATCCGCGGAGTAAAACATGACTACCGCTTACGCCATATTAATGAAAAGAGCTTTTTCCCCAAATTGTTATGTCGCTTATTGGAGTAATAACTATGGACTATATTTTTCTTCAACATAATATGTCGGAAAACACCATACAGTGTGCAATGGGGGACATTTTGACAAGATATCGGCTTCCGCTCGATGGTAGGCCTATTTTGCTGGTTTTGCATCAACACAATTCTCGTGAGAGGTATTTCTCCGTAGGCCTTTGTGGTGTTCAAACCTGTTCTGAAATGAAATCACTCTATTGTTACTGTATATAAAATAAGGCTTACTAAGCATATCAACATGGTGGTGAAATACTTCTTTCTAATTTTAGATTTCAGTGATTTTTATTCATGAATAACGATTTCCTAGAAAGGTCATAGTCTCGATTACTTAGCTCCTCCGTTTTATTGATAAATGCGCAAGGCTGGAGTTCGAGACTACAAAATACACCGTGAATTCAACGTTAAGTTAATGGAAAACGAAAGTAGAAGTAGAATGAAGACGAAAATGAAAGTACAAGTAGAGTTTATAGAAAACGAATGTAGACAAGTCTAGTTAAGAATAAGCCGTACCCTAGCTGTATCCACAGGCTGAACTCCGAGTCAAGATGAGTGAGAACGGCTACGAACTGTTTTTTGGAAAACAATCGCCATTTAGTCACCATCATGCCTGTAAATTTAAACTTGGGAAACAGTATTTTCATTGTATGGAGCAGTATATGATGTACAAAAAGGCTGGTAAGTAGAAGACTAGTTGTTCATTGAAGTTCTGTGGTCGTTATTCGACTGCTTGGCGAAACGCTCTCCTGTAGTTGCGTGGCTTATCAACTAATGTCCGAAACGTGGTGTAAAACAAATTTGTCATTATTGTCAACGTTTTTTGGTCTAAATTTTCAATGTCCATGTATCCGTATTTGATATTTCAAATCATAAAAAAATAATTGTCAAAATGCAATTCTGTTAACACTGGAACCAGCTTTAAATGAATAAGGATAAATCGGGAATACCAAGGACCAGATGGTATAATATGTTATCCTTCTAAAAATTGATTGTTTCTTTCTATAGTATGTCTGTGATATATTGTTTATTCCCTTCTTCACAATATCAAGCTATTACGAACTCCGTCTAATACCTTGACATCATAAAGCACGATACTTGTGAATACAGCCAATTAAATCCCTTGGCAGTAAGACTGTAACAATATGACTATGAGAACTCTGATTGGCTGCATTCTTACCATCCAATCAGATCGCTGCATTTACATTTATAACCTCCATGATGCAATACAAATTCTAAATGGTGTCAAGGTTTCAAATGGAGTACATAATACCTTGACATTGTGATGATGTCTCTCCTGATATTTTAGAGGTATTTGGTGATAAGGATATCATGTATAAAGTCTTGGTTTCCCAACATCCTGCAGAAATTAAACATCTCGGTCGACAAGTGAAAGATTTCAGTATTTTGGTATGGATGAAGGAGGCTGTAAATATTGTTAAGGCTGGAAATAGAGCCAAGGTTTGTAATTGATTTGTTCAATTTACGTCCTTCTGTTATTGGACTAATGTAATGAAATGAGGTTTTATATAATACTGTTTTGTTCTTTATTGGGCTGTCTACTTAAAATTAATCTAAACTTTCGTTCTATTCTTTTATTAGCTTTAATTTTTAATGTAGTCACTTCAGTTATGGTCTAACGACAGTCCTCTTGAACGTTCGTCAAATTAACCTTTAACTCGGTGATGTTTGCTTTAACCTATCAAATTTCTACCTTATCCAGTATTCATCAAGTTAGGTCAAAAGGTTAATTTGAAGTTCAAGAGGGCTGTCGCTAGACCCTAACTGAAGTGGCTACAATAACAATAAAAGCTATTTAAAAAAAACGGAACGAAAGTTTAGTCTAATTTAAATTAGACAGTTTATTGGGCCAATGAAATGAAATGAAGTTTTATATCCTACTGTTCTGTATCTTATCCGGCAAATAGAAAGAAATAGAGTCTTATTAAAATATCAAATGTAATCAATTTTGTGTTTTCAGTTTACCCAGAACGGAAACCTCAGGTGGGAATTATATAAAACATACCCGAAACAGATGGTCGAGGCCAGCCCAAGCGATACTCGATGGGGTATCGGATTGTCTACAAGCGACCCTGATGCATGGGACGAAAGGAAATGGAGGGGACGCAATCTACTGGGAAAATTACTAACCAATCTACGAGATGAACTGATGATAGAGGACAACGAAATCGAGAAACCAACTCTGCCGTTGCTGGAGAGTGACCAGAGTGAGATCGAACGGAAACTTCTAGAAGAAAATGAGCGTAACAAGTCAAGACAGGGGCCAAGTCGAGAGCGAGGACAGAATTGGAGGACAAAAAAGAATCTAGCGTGGGATTTCTTTGAGTTTTTTTGGAGTTCCGAGTCGCCATTTAGTAATTACCATGAAGCTGAATTTGAAGTCGACGGAATGAAATTCTGCTGTATTGAACAGTTCGTGCTGTATGGAAAAGCCCGTAAGGACCTACTAAAATTTGTTCTAGGACAGAAGGGGCAAACAGTACCAGACATATACATTCGATACTAGGGAGAGGAGGGGCGAAGATGAGTCATCTTCCATGCCCCCCCCCCCCCACCCCTCTTTGTAGAAACACTACTGCTACCTGGTGGCCTTGTTCAGCTGGGTGGTTTTGTTCTGTTAATCTTCGTAATTTTTCATAAAAATCTGCAAGGCATAAAAAAACGGTACTAGCCCAGAAAATAGAATAAGGACTTGGGAATTATTGTTTTCGCTATCCCACAATTCCCTATTTTATCAAGAAATGTTTTTTACATGTCATGCTTTGATTGGTTAAAAATAACAACATTGGGACGGGCCATTGGTACAATGTAGACTAAAACTATTAGAAAACGAAAAAGATAGGATCTAATTGACTGCGATATATCTTTTAACGATAGAAAGTCGCTAGTCCCATTTTTCCATTGGTTATTTGTTGTTTTTTTTATTTTCGTAGGTTTGTTTGGGGATAAAGAAGCATTGGAAATAATATCAAAAATAAGAAGGAGTAGTGATTTAAAGAGAAAAATTAATATATATCCCTTTGATATAAAAACATGGACAGAAAAACGTACTGACATCTACAAACGTGCAGCCAAAGCAAAGGTAGGTTTATAAAAATGAAAGGAATGGAGTTTTTCCTCCTACCTTTTTGCATTTTAATGGACTAACGAAGACTTGAATCGCCATGCAGCGTGCTTTCACAGCCTAATTAAAATTAGACCAAACTTTCGTTCCATTTTTTATTAGCTTTTATTTTAAATATAGCCATTTCAGTTAGGGTCTAACGACAATCTCGTTAAGTTTTGATCAAATCTGATAACGTATTCTTTTATCAATAAAATTTCTACCCTCTCCGGTGACGCGAACAAATGATGTTTATCGGTATAGCCAAAAGGTTCATTTAACGAACGTTCAAGAGGGCTGCAACTAGTATTTTGAATTTGTGAATGTTCCTCCAGCATTACCGGCAGCTGGAGTCAGGACACTACATGATGAAATATAACAAATCGCTTTCTCTTTTGAGTGACCTTTGGCATTACAAATGGATTTAATAGGTTTGAATTTGTTTTTGTACTAACTCTACTTCATTCAAGTTAAAAAGTACGTATCGATTTTATCTTACAGTTTGAACAAAATACTGATTTGAAGACAGATTTATTGAAAACTTTTCCAAAAATCATCCTAAGAGCCAACATGAAGGATCAGGCATGGTTCACATCAAATCCACACAAGTTTAAACGAGATGAAAGACGTCACTGGTCAGAGTTCGCTTTGATAGAAGTTCGTGATGAAATGGTGGGAAAAGACAGTGGATTGGCTTTGAATTATTCTGAGGATCGACAGAGATCTCGAAAAGACAAGAAAAGATCTGGAGAAGATCCCAGGGACGAAGCCAATCAACAGAAAAAAGCAAAACATCGACAGAGCTCTCCTGATCAGTACGTAAACGATGTTTCAAGTCTCTTTGACCAGGAGACGAGTATCCAATCCTCTGAAAATGACCATTGCTCACAAAATGAAGCTCAAAATGATTCAAGTTTGTCCAAAAACCCAAAGCCCAATCTCGAGGAGACAATGGAAATGGAGGACTCGTCTGGAAAACACTCGAAGAGAAAAAACACTCAGCCAATGACGGACTGGTATGAAAATGATGTAAGTACATCAGAAACAGCCCACTCAAAACAGAGCACCCAAGAGAAAAGGCAAAAGGAGCAAACCGAAAATGAAAATTCTCGAAAGGAAGGGGAGCAAACCGGCAATAGTAGTTCTCGAAAGGAAAAGGAGCAAACCAGAAGTGGCATTTCTCGAAAGGAGAGGGAGCAAACCGGAAGTGGTAGTTCTGGAAAGGAAACTGAGCAAACCGGAAGTGGTAGTTCTCGAAAGGAAACGGAGCAAACCGGAAGTGGTAGTTCTCGAAAGGAGAGGGAGCATACCGGAAGTGGTAGTTCTGGAAAGGAAACGGGGCAAATTGGAAGTGGTAGTTCTCGAAAGGAAACCGAGCAAACCGGAAGTGGTAGTTCTCGAAAGGAACCGGAGCAAACCGGAAGTGGTAGTTCTGGAAAGGAAACGGAGCAAATTGGAAGTGGTAGTTCTGGAGAGGTAAAGCAACTAACCGGAAGTGGAAGTGCTCAAGAGAAAAAGAATGAGAAGGGACCAAAAGGCAGTGAAAACAAGACAGAGAAAAGTGTTACGGAGTCAACCGAAAATGTGACTAAGAAAACGAAAAAGAAAAAGAAAAAGAAGTCTAAGAAAGAAACCGATACAGGAAAAGAAGGACATTTAAATTCACCCAATGGAACTCCAAAAAAAAAAAGTAGAAAAAGTGATGAATCGCCAGAATACCACCCAGTTGAAACAAAACTCACCAAAAACTATCGAAAACTGAAATTTAGTTCACTTCCGAAGGAAAAGGAATTTACTATCATTGACAACACAAGCCCGTTAAGCTTTGAAGCCGAATGTAAATTCACCGTAGATGATGTGGTATTTAACAGCGTAAGCCAATATACAGCTTATAAAAAAGCAGGTCGGTTTAAAATGTTTAAATCTCTTTTTATTGGCCCATCTCATTTACGTAATTTCGAGAATTCCTTAGTTGTCAAGCGCTATTTTCAGTTGAAATGTATATGCTATCTGACCTTTTTGTATTATGTATTATCTTGCTCATCTTCACAATGTCAACTACAACAAACTGCGTCTAATACCTTGACTGCAATAGCCACCTTGGTTGGATTGTACGCTTCAATTGTAGGCAGACTTTTTGTCTCTGATTGGCTGTATTCGGTAGTATATGTATTTGTATTGGGGACACTGGTAGCATCAATTTGCACCATTCCAATTTTCAATCAGATGTCCTTGGTTCCAGTAATTCCAATAAAACTACGTGTTTGATGACGTCACTAATCAGAAAATCACACAAGGTCCTTCATGATTAGAAAACAATTCCTTTGAGACGTATGCCTTATGTTTTATATTTGCAGAGTTCTTTGGGGATGATTTCACCAAAGCTAAAATAAAAAATGTCTCGGACGCACAAGTTATAAGGAAGTTTGACAGGGAGGTTAAGAAGTTTGATCCGACCACCTGGTTTGCAAACCACGTACAATTTCATAAACAAGCTTGTGAAGCGAAGGTGAGTCTTTTTACAGCAAGATTTACTATGTGGTCAGCATGATTTAGTTCCGAGATCAGCATAATAAGCCACGCCTCCATAGTAACCGTTACTAGTGATACCCGTGCGAGACCAGGCATACCAAGATGACATGAACATGTGAAGCAAAGGTGAGTCTTTTTACAGCAAGATTTACTATGTGGTCAGCATGATTTAGTTCCGAGATCAGCATAATAAGCCACGCCTCCATAGTAACCGTTACTAGTGATACCCGTGCGAGACCAGGCATACCAAGATGACATGAACATGTGAAGCAAAGGTGAGTCTTTTTACAGCAAGATTTACTATGTGGTCAGCATGATTTAGTTCCGAGATCAGCATAATAAGCCACGCCTCCATAGTAACCGTTACTAGTGATACCCGTGCGAGACCAGGCATACCAAGGTGACACTAACATGTGAAGTAAAGGTGAGTCTTTTTACAGCAAGATTTACCATGTGGTCTGCGTGATTTTGTTCCGAGATCAGCACAATAAGCCACGCCTCCATAGTAACCGTTACTAGTGATACCAGGCATACCAAGGTGACACTAACATGTGAAGCAAAGGTGAGTCTTTTTACAGCAAGATTTACCATGTGGTCTGCGTGATTTTGTTCCGAGATCAGCACAATAAGCCACGCCTCCATAGTAGCCGTTACTAGTGATACCCGTGCGAGACCAGGCATACCAAGGTGACACTAACATGTGAAGCAAAGGTGAGTCTTTTTACAGCAAGATTTACCATGTGGTCTGCGTGATTTTGTTCCGAGATCAGCACAATAAGCCACGCCTCCATAGTAACCGTTACTAGTGATACCCGTGCGAGACCAGGCATACCAAGGTGACACTAACATGTGAAGCAAAGGTGAGTCTTTTTACAGCAAGATTTACCATGTGGTCTATGTGATTTAATTTAGTTCCGAGATCAGCATAGTAAGCCACGCCCCCATAGTAGCCGTTACCAGTGACACCCGTGCGAGACCAGGCATACCAAGGTGACACTAACATTTGAAGCAAAGGTGAGTCTTTTTACAGCAAGATTTACCATGTGGTCTATGTGATTTCATTTAGTTCCGAGATCAGCATAATAAGCCACGCCCCCATAGTAACCGTTACTAGTGATACCCGTGCGAGACCAGGCATACCAAGGTGACACTAGCAATCGTCCAATCAATGTCAAGGTGAGAATACACATGTAGCTTCTAACCCGTTCCTTTAAAGATTAAAATGTACATGTACCGTTAATTTGTTTCAGTTTGAACAGAATCCCGAACTTAAAGAACAGTTGTTTGATACGTATCCGAGTCAAATTCGTAAATCTGGAAAAGCAGCTAGAGGGAGAGTGACAGATATAGACCACGCCTCACTTGATAAACAAGACAGAAGTAACAAACAAGATGTAAACAATGTATTAGATCATGTTCGAGATGAATTAATGAAGAAGGATGGACTTATCGATTGATTGACAGGTCCTCAGATAGTGCTATTTTATTTTAGAATAGGAATTTACTTATATTATTATATT